ACAGGATCCAACGGGCAGCAAAACTTTCCCTCATGAGTTTTAACGGAACTGCATTTCCAAGACTTGAAATCAAGACCTTTGATTAAACTGGAAGAGTCTCCTGCCAACTCATCCATCCGCTCCGTGGGTTTGAAACTTAAGTTTATGATAAAATGAATCCAACCCCCTTATAAGGTTATTTAGGTTATGCTTTGCACTAAGAGAAGAAAAAACTGTTACAATTAAAGAGAGTAGTAAATCCACTGCAATCATTATTAAATTATATTAGTTTGAAATATGAATATAAATCCATAAAAGCTTGGGTAAATTTAGGAGTTTCTGCTTTCGAAGTTTGTATTGGGGGAAATTATTTTTGTGCAGTAAAAATAAATAGGAAAATGATTGGTACACCCTCGGTTTAACATATTTTTTGACACACTTTCGGTTTAATCATTAAAAATATAATATAAATACAGTTAATTCAACTAATTCTTGTATCTTGTATGCATTATTATATCATTAAATTTATCTATCTTTAATTTCAGATTAAAAAATAGTGATTTTTTAATGAATATGTCATATAATGTGTTAAACCAGAGTGTGTATCAATCACTGTTCATAAATAATGTAAAAACAAGCTGTATAAATAATTTCAAATGGACTAATTTTTTACTTAAAAGTGTAGGAAATTAAAAACAGCTGGCTTTTGATTTTGTTTCTAATGAGAAAGTATATTAGTAATTAATTAAAGATATCTTTCTAAAATGTTTAGAGGAGTTATGATACTGGAATCATAATCTTAATTAACTAAAATTATACTTAAAATATCAAATCGATTAATTAACATCCTAATTCTCTTTCGCTATGGTAGTGGCTTTGAGATGATTTGAATAAAACCCCCTTCCTACGTGAAAGTAATAATTTTAGATTTATTATCATTAGTTTTTTTCTTTTATGAAAAATATGGTCCATCATTTGAATTTTTCGAAACAATTGCATCCTTAATTTGCATTTTACAAGTAGGGACAGAGAACAAATAATTTTATTTTATTTTATTTTATTTTATTTTGGTCAATTGCACTTACCCGCTTAAGGCTTAACCACAAAATTACAAATGTCGAAAACAGAATAATACAAATGAGTAATCAAGTTCAGTGGTTAAAGATTTAAACATTGATTAATATACACTTTAATTCAACACACTTATTAAAAATTCATTATTTTTGTCTAAAATTAAAAGACAAACAAATTTAAAGATATAATTATATATACTTATAGAATGTAGAAATTAGTTAAATTGGTTGTATTTATATTATATTCTAATAACCAAAACGAGTGTCAAAAAACATTAAACCAAGTGTACACCAATCATTTCCCTAAAAATTAAGAGACCAAAATTCTAAAGTTGTGAGTTCAACTCTCATAAATAGTAAGTTTTCTATAAATTTTTCTTGAGTTTTGTTATATCATTATTAGGTGGGTAGATCTATACCTTCTTTATATATAAGGCCTTTAGAACACTGAAAGGAAAATATAATGACACAAATTCGAAGAATGTCTACAACCTTAAGTCCATTTTACTTGTCATCACACGTATTTTTATGTGATGCTTTGTTATAATATATAAATGATAATTTAAATTTTTTTCTAATAAGTAATTCTTGTTAAGTAGTGTTGACAACCACTCAATTAAAATTCAAAGTAAAATTAAAAATTAAGTTAAAAGATTGAAAAAAGTTGGAGTTGTTACTTGTTAAATTGTAAAGCAGGTCAAGTTATTTAAAATATAGTTTGTATAAAGATCAACATTTGAGCGTACAATTAGCAGTGAAGAAAAGTATGCATGCACATCACAATTCTCTGTATAAACGATGGTTGCATACTCTAAAATAGGGTTTTAATTCAACTTATTAAAATAAATTGAAATAAAAGGATATCATTAGTTTAAGTTTAAAAGAAACAGATGAAATTGAAATGTTTTGAAAGTTTTTGAACTTAATTGAATTGTTTGAAATTTTGATGGGCTTATTTGCAACAAATTGATAGCTTGAGGACTATATTAACAAAATTGAAAAGATTTCGGGTGAAATTGAGTATAAAAGGGACCTGTTCTAAAAGATCTGAAAAGTGATTTTGGGCTAAATTGAAAATTTTGAATTTTTGAGAAATTTGGTTATTTTTATTGAGACTTTGACCCGGCCAAAGGTTTGACCAAGGGTCAAAGTAAATTAAAATATATTAATTAGGTAAATTAATTAAAAGATGGTCAAAATGGAAATTAAGTGAAAATATAGAAATTTGAAACTAAGGAAATATTTTATTTAGATAAACCTTGATTTTTTAAAGTTTATCTTTGACCTAGTCAAATGTTTGAGAGAGAGCCTAAGTGTAATTAAGTTAGTTAATTATTAATTAAAGAAATAATCAGAAAATCAATAATTGAACAAAGTTAATTTGATTATATAGATGTTTTATTTATTATTATTTTTTGTGATGGTGAATTTTCATATCAACCTGTAAGAAAAAAGTGTAGCAATGCCTATAAAATTAATTATCAAATACCTTTAATAAATTAACATATAAAGTAAATTCAATAAAGGTATTTTAATAACTTCACCTAAGTGATACTTTTTATAGTATATAAATAATAATTTAAATTTTTTTCCTACTTGGTAATTCTTATTAAGTAGTGTTGATGACCACTTAAATTTCAAAATAAAATTGATTATTAAGTGAAAAGAGTGAAAAAAAAAAAATTTAGTCATCACTTATTCAAATCAAAAGAGGTAATAAGTCACTTAAAATATTGTTTGCACATATATCAGAGTTCACGAATATAGTTAAAAATGAGAAAAGAAATATACATACCTCACAATTCTTTTTATAAACTATGCTTGTATATTTTAAAATAAATTAAAGTTTTAATTCAACTTATTAAAATAAATTGAAAAAAAAAAGGATTCAATTAGTTTAATTTTAAAAGAAATGGATGAAACTGAAATATTTAAAAAAAATTTGGGCTCAGTTGAATTGTTTGAAATTTTGAGAAACTGATTTGCAACAAATTGGGAACCTGAGGACTACATTGAAAATTTTGAAAACATTTTGGGTGAAATTGAGTATAAAAGAGACCTATTTGAAAATGTTGAAATGTTTTGATAGAATTTGAAAAAAAAAATTGAAAATTTTGAAAAATGTTGGGATAAATAGAGATTTGGAATTTTTGAAATTTTTGGTTGAATCTTTATTGAGACTTTGACCAGGTCAAAGGTTTGATCAAGGTCAAAGTAAATTATAATATATTAATTAGGTAAATTAATTAAAAGAAGATCAAAAGTGAAAATTAAGTGAAAAGATGGAAATTTGGAAATGTGAGGTTTAACTTCGCCTTTAATAGTTAATGCCAAATCTTTTTACCTGTACTAACTATTAAGCCCTTGTACTATATATATATAAAATAAATTAAAGAATATAATAGTTAAGAATAAAAATATATAATATTAATAATTGAAAAAACAAAAAGAGTTCAATTTATTTATTAATTTCACTTTTCAACATTACATTAAAATATAATTTCTTTCCTATTAATAATTACTAAATTCTTAAAAAAACACACACTTGGCCTAGTGACCCAATGACACTAGTCATTGAAAAGTGCATTTTTCCCTCCCTTGACAGGTTTCGAACTCGTCCCATATCAAAAAAATTTAAAAAGAAGAAATTCTTAAAATAACACATTCCAACTTCTCAATTTCCCTTATTAATAATGGAGTCACGGCGTTTTTTTTTTTTTTTTTTTATGCTAGTAATCATAGAATTTTAAAAATAATAATTATGTTTTTATGTAGCAAAAACGGAAAACCAGAAAGTTCCATCAAGCCGTGAATCACATAGGCCCTAATTTGAAATTCACATGATAAACGGTTTAATGGACATTTTAATATATCAGAACATCTTAAAAATTCAGGATCTTTTTATATATTTTAATAATTTTTTTACTGTACTATACAAAAGTGCATGTGTTAAGTAAGATGGACCAGAACTAATAAATGTTATGTGTGCTTTATCTAGAAATTAAGAATAAGGTTTGGGACCTTGCGTATTAACATATGGTTAAAATATAGATTGATTGAATTTCAAATATGAAACAATAAAGAGAAAGGACAATGATATTTCAGGTTTTTTTTTTTTTTTGGAATAAATATTTCTAGTTATATATTGTTCTCTTTCAATTTAGTTTTACACTAGTTGCTCATAAAAAATTTTATCCAATAATCTTCTCATGTCTTTCATGACCGTTGTCTTTCAATCAATGTGTCTCCAGGCATCATACTATACGGTTTTTCAGGTGGACTAACAGAAAAAAAAAAAAGTAAAGGAATACATGTGAAAAGGATGCCTTTTGAGTTGTATTAGCAATGCGTTGAATTCATCTAGTTGATAATATTGCTCATACATGCCCTTTCGATCTGTGATGCAATTTCCTTTTATGTTAGGGTCCTGCACAACCTTTCCATGTCGTTGTTATAGATTTAATAAAATGTACAATTTGCAAAGTAAACCAGCATCAAAAGGCACTCCTGTTGCAGGCAACCAGAATTGTCCTTCAATGAAATTTGACACAGTGAAATTAACAGCATCCGTTGCATTTATGACATGGTATCCAGGCCATGTAACCCTGTTAGAGGTATTCGATCCAGCTCCTGTGTTGTTAAACTCAGCATAATACAAGGTGCTCAGTGCAAAATCCGCAGACCATACAGACCACCCCGAAGGATCAATCAGACTATCCATGAAAGACTGCATGTAAACAGTTCTTGAGTACTCCTTCCATGGCAGTCCCAGGTACGTCTTCGTCGTCCCATTACTTGCCGATAAATCATCGGCAGCCCTGATGGTGCGGTTGTGTATGGAAGTGCCAGTGTTTTGGTTCGGATCAGTTCTTCGCTGTGCAGTGATGGCATTGAATTGTCCAGGCAAAGGCAGTCGCGGGTAGAGGTTGCAGTCCTGGAAAACCACTGCAGCATTACCAAAGATGAAGTCGACAGTGCCGTATATGTCACACTCTCTGTAGAATTGCCGGAGTGAGTAGGCGTATAAGGTGTCTTGGTAGCCTTCCATGCTGCAGCCGTAGAAGGCGGACAGGTCAGCGCCATTGCAGACTGCCACAGCTTGCTGCTTCATTGCCCCTGCTGTGTTCCGGAATGTTATGTTTACTGCAACAAAGCCTGGTGCAACAACAGCTGCAGCAGAGAGCAGCTGGTTCTATTAGTAAACTAAAAAAAGCAATTTAATGAAATAAAATGTCTTCAGTTTTGAAATTTGTACTCAACAAATTGTCAATTTTAATTTTTACTTTTGACTACTAATTGTCAATTTTGCTGATCAAATTTTGATAACTAAAATAAAAAGTCAGCAACATTTTTTTAAATTTTGATATGTATGTTGTTAATTAGATGTTGATTAACTCACCAAATGTTGCAGAATTGAAGGTAGTATAATTATCAACAACACTGCGATTCCCAGTGATTACCGTCTGGTTAATACCATCTCCGATCATCATTAGATTCTTCTTGTTCTTGTGTATGGAAACATACTCTTCATAAACTCCAGCAACCACATGAATCACAAAGCACCGGTTCCCCCATCATTGACGGTAGTAAAATTCCCACTTCCATCAGGATTCACCACCACCACTTGACTCACATTCACACTGTTTCTAATCTGAAGTAGCTTTCTTCCCCTCAGAAAACCATACAACGCTCGGTCCCGGGTCAAAATCCTCTCCATTAGCCATCTCCCCTGCACAGGCTGCACTCTGCCTTGATTAGGAACCCAACCATGCTTGAAAAGGGTCAGAGATATGCTGTGGAACATTGTGCCATTGGAGAGGTAAGACATAAGATCATTCTTGATTTTTTTCAGCTGATGGGGTGGCTTCAGTCAGACTATCTAAACATGTTTGTAGATTTGTCAAAATGGCACTAAGCCAGGCCATGCCATCCTCTACTTCAAAACTATCTAGATTGTGTTTGTAATTGATCAACTGCAGGGTGTTTGATAAAAAGTCTGTGTTCAATGAGGCAAGAAGCTGGCAATCTTCGAGGGCTCGGATTGCTGGGAGGGTGGAAGTTGAGGGGTGACTGAGGTAATTTTGAACTAATGAGAGGAGATTGTGAGCACTTGACAAGGATTGGTTGGGAGAAATACTGCCATAATCTTGTATAGTGTGAGGCTTGTCTTGGGGAAGATAGGATTTGCAGAAGGATGGGTATTGACTGGAGCTGCAAATGAGATCTACGGATGCGGGGAGTGAGGTGATAGCAAGAGATGGGTGGAAAAAGAACATGAGAAGGAGAGAAATCATACAAAATAGAGTGGATTGCTTTGAGGCTCCCATTATGTTCACGAGGCTCAAAGATGATTGAGAAAAAGATGATTGAGAAAAAGTTGTGGGGGTTTGGTCCTATATAAGGTTTTTCAAATGGAAAATGATGTGTGCACACCCTGATTCAACAGTCGGGTGTGCATACCCTGATTCAACAGTCGGGTGTGCACACTCTGCATAAAAAAAAAATAAAGAACACTCAATCCATTTTTTTTTTTATGTGGAGGGTGCACATCCGGGTGTTGAATTTGAGTGTACACCAATCATGATCCTTTTCGAATACATGTCATTCGCATTATTATATTTTTTTTATATTAATTAATATTAATAAAATAAAAATTAATATTTATTTAAATAATTATCTAATTAAAATAATTAACATAATATTAGTGACCAAATTAATTATAATTTTTGTATTTTTTAATACTAATTAATGTGAAAAGGATACAATAATTGCTACCTTAATCTACAAGTTAGAAAAACATATATATATATAGAAAAATGATTAGTACACATTTCAATTCAACACATATGTTAATATCCCTCCGTTTAGTCATTAAAATATGTAATTTTAAGCTTTCTTGCCCTTAATTCAAATTTAAAAATAAAATTTTTTTGATAAATGTATTATGAAATGTATTGAATTAGAAAATATACTAATTATCGTTCACATACGTACTAACATATCTGTATATGATATTTTTATAGAATGGATGAATTGTCCATTTTCAAAAAAAAAAAAAGAAAAAAAAAGAAGAGGTTTATTATTATTAAGAATAATGCATATCAGTTATAAATCTTATTAAAAAATTAAAGTTTTAATTTCAAAAACAATACTCTCCGATAAATGTTTTCAAAAACTAATTATTGGATTTAATGTCCCATGTTCATGTTGATCATGCATATCAATTTTTAAATTAATTTAATATCTATAATAATTTGATTAAGAAATTTGTCCTTTTAACATATGGGGAACCTATGTTCAACTAGCAACTAAAAGAAGCATCAATGACTACTGCCTTGTTAGCTTATGTCCTAGCCATAATGATTGGGGACCAAAAACCTTCTAATCTATCAATAGTTGGACCCTGCATCCTAATTTTGGACTGATGATTGAGAAACAATGGAATAATGTTGAGATAAATGGGTATTAGGGATTCAAATGCAAACAGAAACTTAAGCACTTAAAGCAACATCTCACGAAATGGAACAAGGAGGTGTTTGGCAATATCGACAATCAATTGGAAAAGGCCCTTAAAAAAGTTGAAACTGTGGACTCCAAGTCTGACGATCAAAACCTCACAGAGGAAGATCTACTAAAAAGGAATGAAGGATTTGCTGAATTCTAACACTGTTTAAGGAAGAAAGAAAGCTTGTGGAGGCAAAAATCCAGAGCTATATGGATCAAAGAGGGAGATGCAAACACGGTTTTCTTCCATAGATTTGTCAATGGGAGAAAAAAAAAAATTTGCTTTATGGAATTAATAAACAAGATACTTGGACTGATGAACTAGAGCAAGTCAAACAGATTACAATTGAACACTTGAAGAGCCAATTCTCTAGTCAACCCCAACTTCAAGTACCCCTGGATAGTTTACAATTCACCAAACTAAATGAGGAAGACAGGGACATGCTAAAGGCATAATTTAATGAGGAAAAGATCAAAGAAGCAGTATCCTCTTGTGCCAATGATAAAGCACCGGGACCCGATGGCTTCAATTTTCATTTCATCAAATCAATTTGGAGCACAATTGAAGGTGATGTTATTAATTTCATAAAGGAATTTCACAAGAATGGGAAGTTGGTCAAAGGTTTGAATGCCTCCTATATTGCTTTGATTCCCAAGACAAAAAAATCCTACTTCACTAAATGAATTCAGACCAATAAGCTTGATGGGTTGTCTTTACAGAATCCTAGCCAAGGTACTTGCAAATAGGCTTCGGAAAGTAATCAATAAGGTGATAAGTTCAAGCCAACCTGCGTTCACGGAAGGGAGACACCTAGTAGATAGTGTTCTGGCTTTAAACGAGCTTGTACATGATATGAAAGTCAAAGAAGATAAAGGGCATCATCTTCAAGGCTAATTTTGAAAAACCCTTTGACTCTGTTGATTGGAATTATCTGGACACAATGCAAACAATGCTGGGGTTTGGCCAAAAATGGCGTAAATGGATAAAGGAGTGTCTATTTTCGGCCATTATCTTTATCCTTATGAATGGTAGCCCGACTAAGGAATTCAGTATGCAAAAAGGGTTAAGGCAAGGTGATCCCCTCTCGTCCTATCTTTTTATAATTGCTGCTGAAGGGTTACATGCTTTGATTACCAAGGCAGAAAGAAGAAATCTCTTCAAAGGGGTGGCCAGAAACACTAACATCTCTATCTCCTATCTACAATTTGCTGATGACACTGTCTTACTCAACAAGGCCTCAGTGAATTCTATCATGGCAATAAAGTACATTATGAGATGGTTCAAGATTGTGTTTGGACTCAAAATTAACTTAAAAAGGAGCATTCTATATGGGGTCAATGTGGATGACAAGTGGATGGAAATGGCAGCTTTAGCCTTGAACTATAAACATGGGAACTTGCCTCTTATTTACCTTGGACTCCCAATTGGTGGAAATCCACACCGTATCAATTTCTAGAAACCAGTGGTCGAAAAGTTCCGGTCTAAATTGGCATCTTGGAAGGGCAAGGTTTTATCATTTGGAGGGCGTCTCGCGCTTCTTACGTCGGTACTCTCTACTCTCCCTCTCTTTTATTTCTTATTGTTTAAAGTTCCTAAAAGTACTTTAAATGAGCTTGTCAAAATTCAAAAAATTTTCTTGTGGGGGGCTCAGATGACGCAAAAAAATTTGCTTGGGTTAATTGGGAAAAGATCTGTCTTGCAAAATCCAAAGGTGGTCTAGTTATCCCAAATTTAGCAAAGAGAAATATTACTCTTTTGGGCAAATGGTGGAGCAAATTTCATGCTGTTGATGAGAGTAATAAATTGTGGAAAAAAATTATTGTTTGCAAATATTACAAGGGGGATTACAATGATTTCATCTCCAACTGTACATCTTCTAAAATCTCTACTCTTTGGAAAGACATTTTATCAATTGGTAAGGAAAATGACAGAGCAAAAATGTGTTTCACGGAGGGATTTCCCAGACAGATTAGGGATGGAACAAAAACCAGGTTCTGGATAGATAATTGGTTGGGCACTACCTCCTTCAAACAGAAGTTTTCTCGCCTATACAATTTGTCCCTTGATAAAGAAGCATTGGTTGCTAATTACAAACCAACAAACTGCGAGGGATGGCAACTTAAATGGCGTCATGCACCATTCAAGAGAAAGCTAGATGAATACATGCAACTAGAAAAGATTATAAAATCTATTAACATACCCAGCAACAAGCCGGTCAGTTTTAATTGGCTTCACAGCTCATCTGGACACTCAGCAAAGCTAGCCTATAATTTTCTTGAAGTTTCTTCTCCTTGTCTTGATGATAACAGTTGCAGCTTGATTTGGAATCCATTGGTGCCTTTAAAAATCAGTTTTTTAACTTGGCGCCTTCTCCTAAACCGCCTTCCTACAAAAGACAACCTACTTATTAGAGGAGTGAACTTAAATAGGTAACCCAAATTGCGTATTCTGTGGTGCATATTTGGAGGATGCAAATCATGTCTTCGCCAAGTGTAGATGGTCTCAACACCTATGGAGTAGAATATGCCATCGGTGGGGTTTCTCTTTTCTCTCCCCTAATAATGCTTCCACAATACTCCACCAACTTAGCTCGCTGCAAATCCCCAGGAAAGCAAGAAGCTGCTGGAATCTTACAATCTCAACAACCGCTTGGGCCATTTGGCTCAGTAGAAACAATATTATTTTTGGCAAACAATCTTGGGATGAAAATAGGTTGGTTGACTTAGTCCAGACTAAAACTTTCAGTTGGATCAAAGGTAACTCCAGCTCTGCTAAGTTTAGTTTTGTGGACTGGTGTCAATTTCCAACCAATTGTGCTGTAGACTCTTAAAACCCTACTGGTTTTTTGGTGAAACGTATGGGTGAGTACCCCTTGTACTCTATTTTCTAATAAAACATTTTGATTCATCAAAAAGAAACATATATTTAATGATATTAAATTTTATATAATTAATAAATTAGTTCAATATATTCAATTAATTTAAAATTTAAAATATGTGTTCTATATGAATAAAATACTAAACTATTAGTTTTTAAAAATATTTATTAAAAAATGTATTTTTAAAATAAAAAAATATTTTACAAGATAAACTCTACATTAAAAATATAATCTTCTTTATAAATTACTTAAATATCTTTAATAAAACAACATAAAAAATAATTTTATTAAAAGTATTTTAATAAATTTATAAAACAAACTATATTTTTAATATGCAATTTTGATTATATTACATGAATCCCTTTTTAAAATTAAAGCTCCAATTCTATATCAAAGTTGAAATTGCTACAGTATTCTTTGTATGATACTTAAGTCAAATTCAAAAAAGGGTGGCTAAACCGAAACTCCTCCAAAAGTCTCTCTAAAATATTTTTAATAAAATAATTTTATTAAAAATATTTTAATAAATTTATAGAACAAATTATATTTTTAATATATATATTAATTGTATTACATGATCCCTTTTCCTAATTAAAGCTCCAACTCTATGAGAGTCGAAATGGCCACATTATTCTCCTGTATAGCAATCAAATCAAATTCAAAAAAAGGAGGCTAAACAGAAACTCCTCCCAAAATCTCTAAAGTCAAATTCCCTAAAGTCAACATTAATGATTAGTTTTTAGTGAAGATAAGAGATATGAACTGATTCTGCTTACGAAAAAAAAGATATAAATTGTGGGTGTGTACAATGTAACGTACCAGCTTTTTTTTTCCCCTCATTTAATGAGCAATTTATATATAACTAGATAATCCTTTCCCTTCTTGAATTAAACGTCAAGATTTTTAACTCAAAAGTTTAAATTTTTAATCAACAATCCCTTCGTTTTAAGAATGATGTTGTGGCAAATGGGTCATCTAGCGTTGTTGGTTAGCCGCGAGAATGGCTGTTGGGGATTTTTTTTTTTTTTAAATGAAATTGTTTTTAGAAATAATTGTTTAGTCTGTGGATCTAAGAAAATGGATTTGAAATGAAGTTGTGGTATTTATTTTTTCCCTAATTCCATTTAACATTAATTGAATCTCAATCTCATCTTGGGGAGTTCTTGAGAATATCAATGATATATTGGACGGTGGAGCTTTCCTTCCAAATATAATAGCCACACATCATATAATAAACGTGCACACCAATAAAAGCTCAAGTTTGATTAGGGAAGGTGTATTAGCTTAAGCATTAGCTAATTAAAGGTATGTTAGATATTGTCTCTCAGCTACAAGTCAAGCAACCCATTGCATAATTTGCATTCACCAGAAAAAGTAAAAAACAAAAAAATTTAGGGCGATATTGGAACTAATGGTTTAAATGCAATAAATAATGTAAACAATTAATATCTGGTAATTTACACTCTCTTTTGGTCTTTTATAATTGTTTTAGTTCTTCAATTTTATATAAATTAATTTGACGATGTTATATAATGAATGAATAATTATTGAAAAAATTTTGTTTAAATGAAAATATCTAACAAAAACTATTGTATATAAAAAATTTTCAATTGTCATATATTTACTAATTTATAAAATTATTTAATCAAACTTTATTTAAAAGTCCAACAAAAATAATTAAATCCAACTGAAGAAAGTAATATTACTCCATCTCTCTTTAATATTTATTTTTTTTTAAAGATATTATAAATAAACATAAATAGGGTTTTTCTTTTTTATGCTCTTAGGATACAGGATAAATGTGTATTTATTATATTTTTTATTATAAATGTATATCAAAAAATGTAAAAATTAATATTAATTTTAATATCAATTGAATTTAATTAAACAGTTAATAAATTAAAAATTAATTTTTATTTTTTTAATTTAAATTTATAAAAAAATATATTTATTACACCATTAACCCGATACATGTTAAACAAATTCATATAAATATTATCTTTAAATCTTTTTATTCGTAAAAAATACAATAATTTAGGACAAAGGGAGGATTAATGTTGTTTATAATTAAATATTTTTATTTATCCAATGCATGACGCCGACATCAAACCTCCAATGTTTATACCGAACAGCCTCTTAATGTACTTTTTTTTTTTTTTAATGAGCAAAATGAATTTCTTTTTATTATTATTTTGAAATACAAGGGTACTCGTCCCTCCGATCCTCTTAATACGCTTGTTAAGACATTAAAAAAGACAGCTACTTAGGAAAGATATATCTTCAACTTCATGTCATGTTTGAATCACATAAGTAAATTGAAAACATGCTCTCTCTTTTTTTCGTTCAACAAATTCTCAGTTACTTATTTCAATGCTAGCCACAAATACCTTTCTTCTAATTCTGGATTAAATAACTAGTTTTTTTTAGAAATTATAATTATTTTACTCTAACATCTTTAGTTTCACATAACAATGGAAGTATAAGTGTAAATAATACATAAATACAGAGATCAATCATTATTAATAATTTAATATAAAATTTTTAAAAATCATAAACTTTAATTCAAAGAGTTATTAGATTAGTGATAAATTTTTCATAAATTATTTTAGTTGATATTAAAATAATCACTTTTTACTAAAATGATCATTTTTTACAAAAATGTGAGTTCATATATATTGACCATCATATCTAATGATGTGTGAATCTCAAGTCACCTAAAGTGGATATTATACTTGTTGCCAATGAATTTTGTTTTAATTGTGATTAGGTCTAATAAGAACATCAAACAGCGGAGATTGTGATGTTCCAAATTTCACATAGAAATAAAAATGTAAATATGAGTAGTATATAAATGTGGAATTAACCATTATAATTACTTAATTTTAAATTTTTTAAAGAATCAAAGACCTTTATTTAAAAACTTATTAAATTAATAGTGAATTTCAACTCAAATTCTTTCATTTAGATGGAAAGATTTTTTTGGGATCAAATTTACAGTGGCTTTTGGAGATGGATAAAAGGTATTTATGCTGTGTCACCCCTGAGAGCCCTTAGAATTGAAGGAATGTGTAATTTGATCGGTAATTGGTGAATTTTTTTTTCCCACTCCCATTTTTCTTTTCCTTTTCTTGCTGCTTAGCTATTAGATTAGGAATCTGGATTGGGGTTTTCTCCTTCACAAAGAAGCCCTGGCTTCCCTTTCCTATATGTATCCAACCAAAGGCTCAATTGATGAGAAACTCCAGTGCAAGTGCAATAGAGTTAGCACATCACATGAGTTCCTATGTAGCATTTCAGTCAATGAAACGCTGTCATTTCAACAAATTTTTTACCTTTCAGTAGGGAACTTGTAGCATTATCTCTGATAAATTTGTGGAATCTAAAATTTACAGTGTGTCAAGTTCTCATTGATTGGTTACCCATTAATTTGATATATCTCGGTTGACCTAAAGAATTTCTTGCAACCACGGCTCCTTGCACGGTCATCCCGTGAGGCATGGAGGAAGTTCCAATTGGCAACACCGTGTGCAAGAGGAACCACAAACGAGGTTTCTTCAGCATCCGGGAATCATTGGTAGGTGTCCTCACATGCTGTGGAGTGACGACCAATGGGTAAGCACAATAACAACTAGCTTCATATAAAAATTTTTATTATTTACAAGCCTATTTAGTATAAAAAAAGTGTTGTGCACTATACTATATAATGTAAATTATTAGATAAAAATTAATCTTTTAATATTAAAAGCACATTAAATAGTTTTTATTTTGCATTTAAAAATACAAAACAAAAAATTCATTTAGTGTTCTTTTTTTTTTTTTTTAATTTTGGTTTCCACTTTTAAAAAGAGTAAAAATTCATCACTAAACCTGTGGAGTTGTTGATAATTTTAATAATAAATAAGATTCACTTACATATATCTTCAATCTTAAGGTTTTATTTAGTTGTATCATGAAGTTAAAATAACTATAAACCTTAAAACTTGAATTCTTAACCAACAATAATCACTTACCATATTTAGTGAATCTAAACTTTAGGGTTAAAAGGAGTTATCTTTAACAAACTAAAGAAAACTTGTTAACAACGGGTGGTTTAAATTGTTTTATGGAGGCTTGAAGTTCTTAAAATTAGCCCAAGAAATTACAAAATATTACGAAATTGTAAAGGAGAAGGAAAGTAGAATCACATTCCTTTCTTGTTCTTTGTATGAAGGAACATATTCTTTGAATTAATTGTACAACACCAAAATGTAAAATAAAAAACCATCTTTATTTATGTAAGTATGTAACCCCTCATCAGGTTCAATCAAAATATTAAATTAGGAATAACACTACTTAACTAGCTAACTCATTCATACATGTGAATATCCAAAAAACAAAAGACCAAGAGAAAAAACAAAAACAAAAAACAAAACAAAACAAAAAAACAAACAATCAAACTCCCTCATACATGTATATGTATATAAAAATTGAAGCTGCCATACTTTGGATCCGTTCAAAAACAAAGACTCTAATCAATACCTGCAGTGAACTTGACACCGGTTGCCGGTAACCATGACAGGCCGTCAATGAACTGTTCCACAGAGAAGAATTTTGCTGTGGCGGCATCCTTAATAATGTGGTAACCAGGCCAGTTGACCCGCCCAGCTAACGACGCCCCTGGCCCATAGTTCTTGTACTCACCATACCACAAGGTGTTCAGTGCAAAGTCACCATTCCACTCAAGCCACCCTCTAGGCTGCACCATACTACTCATGTAAGTGTTCATAAAAACTGTCCTGGAATATTGCTTCCAGGGCCTTCCCAGAAAGGTTGGTTGGGTAGCAAGAACGGAGCTGCCTTGGATTGAAAACCCGGTGCTCTGATGAGGGCTTTTCCGTCCCTGAGCCGTGATTGTGACCTTCTGTAGTGGTAATGGGACCCTGGAAAACATTTTGCAGTCCTGTAGGACAGCAGCACCATTGCCAAAAATGAAGTCAATGGTGCCATAAATGCTACATTCGCGGTAGAATTGGCGAAGGGAGTGGGCATAGAGGGTGTCCTGGTAGCCTTCCATACTGCACCGGTAAAAGGCTGACTGGTCAGAATCAACTCGTAGGGCCACGGCCTGGTGGTTTTTGGGTCCGGCTGTATTCCGGAATGTCATGTCTCTTGCTATGAATCCCTGACCCGAGACAGCTACAAGAATAAAGGAGAAAAAGAGTCACGTCAAAGTGCAGATCATATATATATATATATATATATATATGTATGTATGTATATATATATATATAATGAAAGAAAGGCATATACATGTACAAAGTTTTAATATTTTTCGTAAAAACCAAAACCGCTTTAATACCAACTATAACGATATAATTTAGTTTTGCAAGAAATTTCCAGTGTGTGAGGTACTTAATCCCAAGACGTATGTTTTTACTTACCAACAGTTGCAGTTCGGAAAGTGGTCCATCCTTGCATGAAGTTCCTGTTACCAGTCACAATAGTTTCTCCCATTCCATCTCCTACAAGCATTATATTGGTTTTCTTCCTCTTCATATCTACGTTCTCACTATAAACTCCCTTCTTCACCTGGATCACATACCTCCTACTACTGTAACTTGGAGCATCATTGATAGCATCTGTGATCGTCCGGTAATGTCCAGTCCCATCCAATGCTACCACTGCATCCGCGTGCATCCCAACTGGACTGGCATGGAGAAGCTCTTTGTCACCTTCTGTCATCCACTCCGGAAATACTGAACTTGTAAATCCAGTGCTGTTTACAGGCGGTTTAAAGGGTAAGCTATGTAACTGAGTATACATAGCCAGAACGTTGTTGATGAGTTGGGTGACTTGATTCAGGCTTCCTTTGATGAAGCTTTCCAGATGCCTGTCCGTTCCTTCAAAGCCTTCAAGGCATGTGTCCTGGTTGCTCAATGCAGCACTCAACCAGGCTTCCAGATTCCCTTGGTAGTGTGGATTTCTGTCACCTGCTCGGATTTTCCCCATCTCCGATAACGACCAGCCCAGCTCAGAGACGGAGAAATCCAGGAGCTCCTTGCAATCCTCAATTGCTATCTGCTCGCGGTAACTGACAGAGAAGGAAGTGAACTTTGTAATGGTTTGAACAGCTAGTCTTGCTTCATTCAGAGAAGCCCTGAGTGCAGCAGTAAGTACTGATTCTGGGGTTGGAGGACCTATTCTTTGAACCTCCGCCCGGATATTCATTAGGCATGAATCCCAGTTTTCAACTTCCACGCAGGCTTGAATGATCAAGGGTTCTGTGGTTAAATCTTTGCTAGAAAAAGCTTGAAGAGAAGGCATTATAATGAGAATAAGAAGAAAACTGGCAAAGCCCATTTTGGAACTTGGGAAGGGTAAGAGAAAGGTAGAGATGAGCGCAAGTTCTTTTTAGGAGGGAAATATAGTGAGTTTTATATGACAGTAAAGGACTTTGTTCGCGTTGAAAGAAAGGCGAGGTCTTTTGAGTTCTGAATTTACCTTCTATAACACTTTATTCCCAAGATAAAGTTCCAAGTTATGCTTTCCTTCGGGTGAAAAGTGTAATGTTCCTCGGCTTGTGGGCCAAGATGAATCCTTCTTCTAAGCTGTGGAAGTTCACTCGTTTCCACAGGCTGTCCCATGTACCATACTGAATTCAGATTCTTTTCGTGGATCTTTAACTAAGAATGAAAATTGCTCTTCTTTCAAGTCTAAATGAATAAAGTAACCATGGCCCTCAAAACAAATGTTAAGATTTTCCTTCAAAGCAGGAGCACTCGGACCATCCTTAAAAGACATAAGCACATGCATGACTGCTCACTTGTGATCTTTGTAAGATACTTGAAGATAGAATGTTATTTAATCCCATCGGATCTTGCAGCCTCTGGCATGCAGGTTTTCGAGTATTTCTGAGGAAAGCAAGAATCTTAGGGGAGCAAATAACTTAACCTTTTTTATCCGGAAACTACAAGCCCTAAGGGCAAGTTCAAACCCATCAACTGAAACGTTGCTGAGATGCACTAGCTTTGCATCTTGGAGACGCGTCAAATTCCCCATCACCAAGCATAGTGCCATGTCTGAGATGGGACAGTAGCTCAAATTTATCTGACACCATAAAGGAATTTTAGTTTTTTAAGGTAAAAAGAAACTTTAAAAAATCAACAGGTATATATATACATACTTTGAAAATGGATTTTTTTATGCCCAGACTGAACTTTTTTGTGTAGTCTGGGTAATGAAAGTACTGAAACAGTTACTAAAATAATTTCACAGTTGGGACTGCTTGCAATCCAGACTGAAAACGATATTTCTGATATTCTTTTACATTTAATGCCAAATGTTTATATTCTATACAATAAATAGAAACTCAAAAATGAGTCAGGATCCACTTAAAAAGCTACAAGTCTTGCACAATAATAAATTACCATCAGCTGATTTACAAATCCTATGGTTGAGATATGATTAAATATAACATATCATTTAAACTGTCAAATTTGTGAAATCATTGGCTAATAATTTATGAAAGACTTACACGAAAGGAAGTTGATTCTGACTCCACATATATAATTCATTCTAAAACATAGTACAGTTAAAAAGGAAAAAAAAGTCTAAATTCCTCATCACAAGCATTCTACGACATATGGTACTAAATTGATGTAGTCTCAGAGCAAAAGAAATTCCAATATCCTGTTTCCATTGAATTTTCCCCACATATGTTGTAATGCATGATTATTACTGTTCCTGTAGAAACTTAAAAAACATATTATCTTGTTCAAAATCAGGAAATTACCTGTCGAAGGTTCTTTGCGTAGCAAGCAAGTGCCCAAAAGCCTGAATCATTGACTTTGACACAATGTTTCAAATCCAAGTCAGCTAGTCTCTTACACCCAGCTGCAATTGCTGCCAAACCTGTACCAGTAACTTTCTCAAGTCCTCGCATTTCAAGATCGGAGAGTTCCTCCAGACAGCTGATATACTCCATCCCTCTGTCAGTAATTTCATTGCAGTAGGACAAGTTTAGTTTCATCAAATTCTTGCAACCCATAGATAAAGCACCTAAACCCTCATCACCAATACCTGAACAGCTGTAATACCAAAAATGAAAGAATTTCAAACAAATAATTTTACTGGTATTTGATAATATCAAAGATGAATTATATTAATAAATTTACCAGTATAGATCCAGTTCATGAATCTTTGGACAGTTGGAACCAATGGAGAACAGTCCTTTATCAGACACATTTGTGCAAATTCCTAATTTCAAGCACTTTAGTCCTGAACAATTGGACATATATTCAAGTCCTGCAGATGAAAAAAAGTAAAGTTTTAAAGCAACTAAATGCAACAATATAGTAGGACACTGGATAAAATTATAGAAATATCAAAATAAGATGATAAAAAATTCAAATGATAAATTGATGAAGAGGTGAGACGGAGTTCATGCAATGGTGAAGAAAACAAAAAGAACATTGGTTAGAGGCATGTTAGTTAAAAACTAAATAAAGGCAACTACAGTTGATAGATAAAAATTTCAAAAAGTTATGAATGCAATGAACAATAACCTTTGTCATTTACACCGCAACAATCTGTAAGATCAATTTCCTCCAGTACTGAGCAAAAGGATCCAAGCTGATAAAGACTCTTCTCAGTAATCATGTTACAAGACTCTAACTTCAGGCACACAAGGTTCCTGCATGACTCTGCTATGGCAGAAATTGCAGCATCAGTAATGGAACCGCAACAAGTCAGATTAAGGACTCTCAAGGTGATGCATCCAGATGCAAGTTGCATGATGCCCATGTTGGTCACTCCTACACATTTGCACAGACCAATTTCTACCAGAGACTTGCAGTAGTTGCTAATTACTGAGAAGCTAGGCTCAGCAATTCTAGAGCCATCAATTCTAATCATTTCAAGATGCTTTAAGCCCTTTATGCAGTGAAGAAATGTTGTACAGAGCTCCTGTAACAAAAACACAGGTTCACCTTTCATAAAATTAACCCTGTAATATTGGAAAAATTCAAGAACCAAACAGCAAAGAAATTCACTTACAGAAAGAATATAACTTGCATTAAGCTCTCGGAGACTGCCATGCCCTTTAATTACGGAGATTAAACCAGATGAACTGACACACTCACACCTTGATACGTCAATTCCCTATGGGCCATACAAAACAAACATCACTGAGAATTTCCCTAGACTGCTAAAACACAACAATAAGTTACATTGCATTCTTAAATACTTTGTTTGCATCATTGTTTTATGTATTATCATGAATATGCGAGAGAATTTGATGGGTGAGGAGTCTATTACCTGTAGCAAAGGGCATCCATTCTCAAGAAACTGCAAGCCAACATCATCCACTAACGGACATCCCACCATAGCCAAAACCTCAAGCTTCTGTAGGGTGGCAATAGTTCGGAGAGACTCATTTGTCACCTAAAACCGTATCTGATTTCAGTACAAAATCGGAAGATAATACTGTTTGATTTCTCTAAACATCCAAACAATAGTCAAGGGAAAATCAATATTCATTTAGTAAGTTTATTTTTAATCGGTGTAAACCCCCTAAAGCATAGTATCTCACTTTAACCATGCCTAACAATTTGCTTTGTCCAAAGCTACGCTCAACAGTCTTCTTCTTTTTAGAAAGCTTTAATATTGAAAAGATAAACTCTAATTTCCTCAATTTTTTCATATTATTTAGCAAATATCCTCAAAATCAAATGTTGGCCCCAAAAAAAAAAAAAAAAGGAGTTGACTCACACAACAAATTTTCCGAAAAAAGAAAGCAGATAACAAAAGTTCAAGTTTTTATTCTTCCCTTCTTGTGTTACTCTCAAAGATTAAAAAGTATTCTTTTTCTTTCCAAGTTTTCTCATGAACCAAACAAAATAACCCATCTAAACAATCATTAAAGCAGAAATAATGAACAATTAGTCACTAAACAAAACCTTTTTGTTTTGATGAAGAAAGATAAAAACAAATTAACCTTGAGGTAAGAAATGTCAAGAAACTTCAAGTCGAGGCATTTCTTGCACAGAAGATCGACGCCAAGATCCGATATCTCCATGCACCACTTCAAGCTCAGCCGCTCCAGCTTCCCGCACCTCACCACGATCTTAGCCAATCCCACGTCGCTCACATTCAAACACTTATCCATCTTCAAAACCCTCAACCTCGCCGCGTTGGACAGCGCCGCCGCCTCCCGGTCTCCGAACCCACAACAATACGACACGTCGACACTTTCCAGAGACGGGCACGCATGCACCAGCGCCTCTAAGCCCATGAACCCTAACCCGGCGGCTCTACTGAGCGTTAAACGCTTCAGCCCCCGAGCCCAACTAAACCAACTCAGCGAGCCGGATTCCGAGCCCGACGCATGTCGATTCAGAAGCAGAGAAAAAGTCCCGTCATCGATGCACGGGCAAACCGAAAGGTCCAGACTTTGGAGCCTCGGGTATTTCCCAGGGAGACTCTGCAAAAACTCAACCCGGAGAACTCGAAGATGATTACGGGTCAACGAGTCGACCCGGAGAAACTCTCTGCACACAAGCCTCCACGACTTGCGATCTGACTCAGAACCCAGTTTCTCATAGACCCGGGTAAGGAGATCTTCAGTGAAACTAAGAAGGTCCTTGCTTGATCTAGACGACATTTAAATGTTAGCAGATATCGAGATTATGAAAATTTGTAGAAGAAAAATTAGAGTTTTTTTTTTTTTTTTCTGAAAATGAAAAACTGGAGCTTTTACTTTGTTAGGTGAAGAAGAAAGTTGGCCATTTGCAGCGGAGGAAGAAGACGATACGGTATAGTTATTCAGTACGGTGAGGACCTAGGATTTAAAAGAGAACAGCGAAATTATCTACAGCCACGTGTAAATTGGTCTTGACGTGGTAAGATATTATTGGATTCAAACAGTTTGATGTTTGCGGAGCTTAACACCGAGACTTTTCTCCAATTAGAAGAATGGAAGCACGAAATGACTAGTCTGTCCCTTAACTATAAGGTATCTAATGAAAACTGGGGGATTGTTTTGGAGATTGTGACCATGGAGAATATGGGGCGTTGGATGAAGAGAACCTAATAGATTTGGATGGAGGAGATAAGAACACGTGGAAAGAGGGGGCAGGAGGGAGCAGGTGAGGTGGGTGGTACTGGAAAGTACTGAGAAAACCGTGGGAATACTGTGTTTTGTACGGGAGTTCGTGGGTCCCATAAACGTGCAATGACCGTACCTATATCTTTTGGATTTTTGAAATTTTTCGTAATAAAGGGAAGGGAGAGTTAAACTATTATTTTGGTCCTTTAACTTCTATATAGACCTTTCATTTGGTTTCTAAACTAAATAAAATTTTACTTTGGTTCTTAAAGTTTGAAATTTCATTTTTTTTGTTAGTTCTTCCATTATATTTTCATTGACATGACTTGTTACTTAAACGGTGCCCTTAAATTCTTCATCATCCTTCCAATTGCCCAAAAGACATCTCTTAAACAAATTACAACAATTTTAGCCAAAACAAAAAAAATACAATAATTATTTTGGTTTTTCTTGAACAATATCATTATCTCTCTTCATCTACATCAATTCTTCTTCACCACTATATCTTCCCTTAATATCTCACTAAACCTACAAAATGCACCTCACCATTGACAACCATATATTCAAGATCTCTCTTTGTTCAACATCTTAAAAATCACCATTTTCAAGCTCACATAGGTCTTCAACCTCTCTTTATCAATCAACACCCATAGCAACATATAAAGCTTGCTAGACGGAAGAAACTCATATCCAAGTTCATGGGTTTGGAGAACCTACATCTATTCTTTGGGTTCTTAAGATGAATATGGAAGAGAGAGGGGAAAGAGAAAGAGGAATGAAGATGAAAGATCGATGAAAAATTAAGAAAAATGTTGAAGATGTAATCATTAAGATGGCAATATTAAGAAGATTGTGATCTAGGTTCTATGAAATTGGGCATAATTGAAGTTAGGGTTTGCTTTAGAGATTATAATTTTTTAACTTTTGATCAATTTCTTAATTCTTCCAATCAAAATATCCCATGGATTCTCAAATTTTTAGGTTACGCAGAATATTGGTGTCGAAGAAGATGCTTCAAAGAACATCTTTAGAATTTCTACTTTTAGGTTTGCAAAATGTGAAGGAAAGGAAAGAGAAAGGGAAAAAAGAAAAAAAAAAAAAAAGAAAGCTAAAGTAAAGAGAAATTATATGACCAAGTTTGTTTACCATATCATTTATTTATCCATGTTTTCAATTTTATATAGCAAATATTTTTAATCATCATTCTACTCCCATCAATTAACAAACCATGTCAACAAAAATTTAACTATGAGGGAACAAAAAAAAAAGAGTCAAATTTTTAAAGTTTAGCAATTAAAATAGAAATTTTTTAAATTGAGGGACCAAATCAAGATGCCTATAATAATTGAGGAACCAAATCTATCCTAAAGGGAGTCGGAGATGAAATCTAATCTAGTGTGATAGGTGACGTGGTCGGTCTGGGACCACAAATGCAATCGGACATGATCATGATTCAAGATTCATGACCATCTTTGGTAACATAGATGGGCTTTGATATTTAAATTTATAAAATTATTGTTATAGAAATATATATAATTATTATAATATTAAATAAATATAAATATTAAAATAAAAAATTAATTATATAATATATTATATTATAAATTTATAATATCACTTAATTTTTTAATTATTATATTTTTTATTTAAATCTCTTTCATATTTTTCTTAAAAAAAATATTGTTTTGCAATTCTTTTTTCAAACTAAGTTAAAATTGTATGAAAAAATTATTTTATAAAGCGAATTGTATGTAATTTACTTTACAAAATTATTTAAATACTTTTAATTTTATTTTTATATTATTTTATTAAAATATTTAAATAATTTTATAAAATGAACTATACGGTAAAATAGTTTTTTGAAATTTTATTATTAATAGAAGCCATACTACCTCTCCAGGTGAAAACAATAAGTTTTCTCATTAATAAAGTCTTATAATTGCATATTTCAGTGTAGAATAAAGATATAAAAATAAGAGTAAATTTTTCTCAACATCAATCATTGTTTGTTAATATCATATTGTTTTAATCATCTTGACTATTTTACTCTAAATTGAAAGACCCCTCTTCCCTTCTTCATCAGTTTTGATTCTCCTCTGTTTATTCTCAGCACATTCAGGTTATCTCATCCTTAGAACGATAATTGAGAAAGATTACATAAAGAAAGAGAGGAGAAGTTTTGGATCATTAGTGGGGTATTTTGCCATAAAACCAACCCTGAGAAATTGAAATCTCGATCTATAATACCCTTTTTAATTGATTGATGAGAACATTTTTAATTTGAAAATTACTTTTGTGATTGAGAAATTGCGAAATGAATTCGGGAGTTAGGGCTTTAGATAAAATAATAATAATAATAAAGGGGAAAAGGGCAAAGAGAAGAATAAAGCACATAGAGAACCAAAGAGAGTTGAAAATATGGAAGTCCACACGAGAATTGAAAGAGGACAATAAGGTGGGTCAGGGTAGCAATATAGTCATTTGATATTTTGTTAAGATCACCTAAATTTATTTGATTTAATTATTGAAAATAATTAATAATTATAAAATAATTAATATTTATTAGTTAATATATTCAAATTAATCTATAAATTATTATTTTTAAATATTATAATTAACTGTTTAAAAAAAGACTTTTAAACATATAAGATATTTCTCAAACTAAATAATTTTTAAGTGACTTTAATAAAATAATGTATAATCATAACTACATCCATAAGTCTAGGATACTTGAATTGGATTTTAGAATTTACATTTATAATTAAGGGTAATATAGTTAAGTTAACTAAAAAAGTGTGACACCAACAAATATGGGTGAAGCTATTGCCTCACCCTTCAACACCACCCTTCAACACCATTTTATACCAAAAAAAAAAAAAAGAATTGAAAATATTGTCACCATTTTAGTAACTCATTGATAAATGTTTTTATTAAAAATATGGGATTTTAAGTTTTAAGTTCAAAGCACTTCATATATAAGGTATTAAGAGAGAAGAAAAAATCTTATTGTGCAATTTAAAATCTAAAAAACAAAATACTCTAAATATTACTTAATAATCTTTGAAAATGCTATTCTTATCCACATGCTCCTCTGGCCAGACATTCTCAATGGTATTGGAGACTTTTCAATCTATTCTTAGCACTAACAAGCACAATCTTCGTTGATGCTCCAATTGGAAATAATTTTTTTTTTAAAAGAACAATTTTTCTTGCTTTTCTTCTTACCCATCATCTCTTGATTCTCTTTGCAGATTTGATGATGTAGAAAAGTACAAAATGGAGGGGAACTGCTATATCGCGACAAGGGGAAAAAAAAAAAAAAAAAAAAGAGGAAAAAGGAAAAACTTAAAAAAGGAACAAATTAAGACAAGAAATAGAAGATGCGGACTTGATATAAGGTGAGAAGATCCATGTACAGAGCAAAAGGAGGAGAGAATTTAAAGAAAGGGAAAAGATGAGAGAATGAGGAAAATAACACAACTATCAAAGATCACAAAGAAACCATAAGCAATTGATGAAAAAAAGTGAAAGGGTAGAGTTGAGAAGACCAACACACTGAAGGGGATAAAAAAAAGAGCAGAGTATATGTATAGCTTAAGTGAAACGCGGAGAGGGAGGAAAATGCAAGGATGATCCTATCCCTCTCCTTTTTTCTTTTTTTTTAACAATTTAATATGAGATGAAATCAAACCATTGAATGGGACTTTTCCTCCCCTTATTTGTATGGCTTAGAATGGAAAAAATTAAAAACTAAAAGTAAACTAAAGGTCTTTTTTCTTTTTTTATTTTTTTAACTAAATAAAATGAATTATCACCCTTCTTTTCGACTTAAACCAAATATACACTAAAGGAAGAATCCACAAATTAGAATTAAATGGTGGGGGAACCCACTACACACCCCTCAAGAAGTCTCTAGACCTCTAAGGACTTAACTTTTTGTGGATATTGCAATTCATGTAATAATGTCATTGATGGAGAGTCTAGCCAAAATCCAAGAGAATCAAGTTAAAATTGATGAGGTGTTTCACAGTTTGGTATTGATTAACCAAATTTATTTATTTATTTATTTTAATATGTTATAACTTTGGAGTGAAGGGATTCAAAATTTAATCTTTCAGTTAAGAGATGTACTTGTAACATAATCTATAATCCCCAGGTCAAGAAGGTCAAATGTGATTAACTAATTCAGTTTGAGTTTGAATTTTAAATTTATTTGTATTTAGCCAAGCTTTTGCTTGTAAAATTATGTCTATTAAGCCAAGTTTCAATCTGTGCAAAATAGATTGTACCTTTCATTGTACAACTTTTTTTTTTTAATTTGAACTCAAGCTTGAAACCTCATGGAACAGTACTCAATATGTTGATTTATATTGTATTAATTTATATCAAATTAATGGTTAAATTTTACATTATATTAAAAGATTTATAATGGCCGCATTGGGTTGATCAGGAAGCTCATCATCTAATTAAAGTCCCAAGAACAATGTAAAAATTTTATTCAAACCAAATTGGAGCTCAACTTGGATATATTTAATCAGTCTAAAAAAGTACAACGCAGGCATGGCTCATATATCTGCCGCCCCTCGTTCTAAATGCAAGAGAAAGCGAGAAGAAATGTATGGATTCAATATTCAAGACCATGATGAACAGGTCAGAAGTTGAGCTAGTCTTGGTCATCTATATTACTTTAATGTGTATTAAGAAAGTGAGTCCCAAAACAAAAGATTAAGTCAACATATGTGAGGCAGCATACATGGAAAAGTAGTTGAAATTTAATGTCATTTAAACTGTACAGTATAAATGAAAGATTAAAAATTAAGTTAATATAGTAATGAATTCCTTATTTAATGCTTTATATTTTGTAATTTATCAACGACTTAAATAACTTAATGATAATTTTTTTTTTACTAAAAATAAGATATTCTGAATTTAAGTCACATGACATTCTAGTGGGATAAAGGATGAAAAATAAGAAATGATTGCTTCTTATTATGCAATCAACATAAAAAAATTGAAAATAAAAAATAAAACACCCGACTTTATATATGTTAATTAATTACATGTGGACTGCTTAGTGCTTGTCATGTGCTATATATTATTTTGAACATGGTAGCTGTTCAGATTTCAATAGAAAGCAAACCAATGCTTTTGGCATCTTCAAAAAATGGGTGATAAACTACCTATAACCGTCTTACCGTCTTGATAATCAAAACAGCTTATTATATATTTATGGTAAACTTTTCAAGTTTTTAACCCTAATTGGTAATCCCGTGGTTAATCACTCAATACTGAAAACGCGTATAAATCTAGAACTACTCAAATAATTTGAGTATTAATTAATTAATCATAATGTAATCAAGTCAGGGTCCTGATTAATGACTCCTATGCAGATTCCATCACATGCAAAGGATCAGAGCATCGATTGAATAAAAGACTGGCATGTTTGGTTGGAGGGAAAG